GGCGATGTCGACATTACGATGAGAGGCGACCGTGACCGCGTCCAGGGATGGAGAATCCACTCCAAGCTCACCCAGAGTCAGCGCACGAAGGCTGCAGAGTTGTTCCGCAAGGCCAAATCCGGCATCCTGTTCTCCACCGACGTTACTGCCAGAGGTCTCGATTTCCCCAATGTCACCCACGTTATCCAGATTGGCGCTACCTCAGACCGTGAGCAATACATCCACAGACTCGGCCGCACGGCTCGTGCAGGCAAGGAGGGTGAGGGATGGTTGATTCTCGCCGACAGCGAAATGGACCTTGCCCGCCGGGAACTGCAAGGCCTTCCCTTGAAGCCCAACCAGACGATCGACTGTGCTCAGCACGACTTCACCAGCGGAGACGAGCCTACGGCGATTTGCGAGAAGGTGACCCAGGCTACTGCTCGGGTCGACCCCCAAGTCTTGGAGGTTGCCTACCTGTCCCTGTTCGGCCAGAACCGCGACAACGTTCAGGCCAAGGTTGACGAGCTCCGCGAGTGGTGGGTCAATGCCATGGAGCAGGACGATACACCCGCCCTGAGCGCTTCCACTATCGAGAAGCGTGGTCTGCGTAGAATCAGGGGTCTCAATGTCAGACAGCCGGGCTCTAGATACGGTAGCGACAGCGGCGGCCGTGGCGACCGTGAAGGCTTCAGCCGTGGTGGTGACCGCGGTGATCGTGGTGGTTTCAGCCGCCGCGAGCCCCGCGATGCTTTTGAGAAGATGGAGATGGACAGCACCAGCTCTGACCGCCGTTCCTCTGACCGCCGTTCAGGTGGTTTCAGCCGGGGCGGAGGACGTGGCTTCGGTGGAAGAGAGCGTCAACAGAGATCCTCCTGGTAAAGCAGAAGATGACGACACCAGCGCCCCGGAAGCGTAGTGGGCGCGAGCGGAGGAAAGAAGAGAACAACCAACAACGAAAAAAGCAAAGGCTTCAATGAATCGGAAAAGGTCTGTGAGATACGGAAGACGTTTTTTTTAACGACCTCGGAAACTGAATTAGACATGTCACACCATACCCCATACCCAATCCCCCATCACCATCACCACCACTCCCCTTTCTTCCTGTTTTTAAGAGGGAAACAGGCTTGTATCATACCATTTTTGTAACGGAGCACAGGAAAAGGGGGGCTTTACTCGAGGGAGTTGTGCTTGTATTACCACCACCGGCATTGGGACAGAGCTATAGCGCCTCGAGAGAGATTTCAACTGTACGAGATTAACCGGGGTGATAAAAAGCTACACAGTTGTAGCGCCATGTAAATAATACTGAGGGACATTGAATCTCCAAATCTCATCTTCAAAGATACAAACATTTAATCCACTCTTGTCTCGTGTGAGCTGAATACTACGTGATACTTTTCTCGATATCATTGATTCTAAGTCAAGGCGGTGCTTATCTCTGTGTGCTCATCAACTTAAATGACAGCAATGGTCTGCCCTGCACGTACAGTTCCCTGAGCAGTTCATATCAGATCAGACTTGTATTGATTGCGAGTCCCATCAGCTCCAAGTAACGCTAGGCAAATGTCATTTTACAGCCATGTACGATTTTCCCAGAAAAGGGGTTGGCCAGGTCCCCCCTTTCTGTTTCTGAAGATTATCACCATCCTCGTTATGTACGCGCGCGCCCGCCCTCTAAGAATTCCCTCCCAAACGCCCAAATATCAAAAGCCTAGAATGCGCGCCTCTTCCAAGAGAAGGGTATCAGCACCCCTCAAAACCCAAAACAAGATGGACTGATCATCGTGAAAAAGCACAAAGCTCATCTTTGGCCAACTCTCGCTTCCCACTTTCACCGACCACCACCCAACAGCGCGTTGGCATCCCAGAGAAGAACCCTCTCATCCCAGCCGACGGTAGCCACCCACCCGCCAACACCGAACAGACACCAGTCGACACCGACAACGAACTCGGTATGCCTGTTCATAACCCCAACCTGCGCGCCAATCTGCGCCCCGCCCGCAGGTCCACCAGCAGGCGGCGCATTCGACCGATCGTCCCACAACCGCACCGTCATATCATAACTCGCCGTCAACAGCAAATCGCTCGCGTGCGGGCTCCACGCCAGCCTGCGGACGGCGTACTCGTGGCCCTGCATGACGGCCACGGGTCCCGCCGTCGGGTTCCGGATGTCAAAGGTGCGCACGGCGCGGTCGACGCCGCCCGTGGCGATGACGGTGTCGCGGTACTTGTTCCAGTCGTGGGTGAGGACTTCTCCCGGGGCGGCGGAGGGGAAGGATGGGCCCGCGGCGTGGACGGGGATCATGGAGGTTAGGTGGTAGCGGGAGGATACCGGGGTGCGGAGGTCAAAGATGCGGATTTGGGAGTCGGAGGAGACGGAGGAGATGATGTGCGGGTTGGAGGGCTGGAAGGAGGCTGAGTAGGTGCAGTTTCCTACGGGGAGGGTGCGGAGGGAGTGGTCGCGGGTCGGGGACCACTGTAGCAGGTTGGTCAGTATATGACGGTCTCTCTTTTGGTGGGTTGGTGTTGTCCACACATACCACTTTGATCGTGCCGTCCCACGAGCTCGAGACGAAGGTGTCCTTTGTGATGGGGCTCCAGTTGACGGAAAAGGTCTCGCGCTTGTGTTCGTGAAAGTTCATGACGGGGAAGTCCTTCACGCCGAGGTCGAAGAGCTTGATGGAGCCATCGCCGCAGGCGACGACGAGCTGGTTCTCGTTGATCTCGGACCAGGCGAGGTCATATTGCGAGTCGTTTGTGTCGAATCTGTTTTTGCCATGGGTTGTGTGAGTTACCAACCAAGGAGGGGGTAAAGAAGCAGAAGGCGGAGGGGGGATAGACTCACGTCGTCTCGACTTCGATGCCTCGCGCCGTCAGCCCGAGGCAGAAGACGCGGCCGTTGCCGACGATGCCAAAGTTGGCCGACGATGCGACGGCGATGCGCGAGTCGTAGTAGGGCGAGTACTTTACGGCGTAGGGGTTGTAGCCCTGCGTGCGGAATTCGAGCATTGGGGCCATGGCGGGCGACGTTCACGCAAACGCGATGCGCGATGCGATGGGCCCGTGGTTTCTCTTTTCTTTGGAGTCCGTCGCTGGTCGAGAGCGAGGGAAAAGTAAGGTTTGGTGGTTGGCACAGGCAAAGGAAGGTGCTAAGGTACCGCTACAAACGCACACAGGAAAAGCATATGACGGCGGGACGGGATAGCTCTGGCCGGTCGACGGTTACATCACCGCGCCCGATCCGGGGTACCTCGGCAGACTGGGGGGAAGCACCTAGGGCCAGGCGGGTTTGCGGGCAACGCCGCCAGTGGGCAGTGGGTGGTGTGGATGGCGGGGCAGAAGATGCAGCAAAGTTGGAGATGCGATTATCGGGGGCAGCGTTTTCAAGGTGGGGGGAAGTAGCACGTGCTTTCGCGCTACACACGCGCCTGCTCAGTACGCCCTTTGCAATGACACCTGCTAGAAACATGGGGTCCGGACCAGTGGGGTGCTTTTACTTCAGTCTTGGACTCGGGTGATTCCCTTTCCAAAAACTTGAACGAGATCGGTGGGCATTTCCATCTCTCTTCATGACTTACATCGAGGTCGGTCTTTCGTGTCGTCCTCGACTATCTACGTCATGGACTCGTTTCTTATCAGGAAGAAGCGGAAACTCACTGAAGAGGTGAAGCCCACGGAGGATGATGAACCGACCGAGGTGAAACTGGCTATCCTTTCATCTCTTCATCCAAATTTGGAGCAAGATGTACTGTTGGACGTGCTCTTAGCACACAATGGCTCTGTCACGGAATCGCTCGAGGCTCTCAAGGCGCAAATCCCGATCAAAAAGTCGAATGGAGTCAACGGTGCCCAGAGTTCCCTCCGGCACTTTGGTGTTAGGTCGGAAGATAGCAGCAACGGTCCGCAGCCAAAGAAGAAACTCATGTCCAAGAAGGGGGCCACGCTTCACCTGTACGATCCTGTCGACATTGCTGAACACACGCCGTGCACCGTCATCCACAACTTCCTCCCGCCAGAGGAAGCCAACGACCTCTTGCGAGAGCTCATGACAGAGGCAAAGTCATTTGAGAAGAATGTGACCTTCAAACTATTCGACAATGTCGTGGCTAGTCCGCACACGTCGAGCTTCTATGTCGAAAGCTACGACGAGATTCAAACGCAGAAGACGGACTACCTCTACAACGGTGCCAAGCTGAGTGACATTCGCCGCATCACACCGCAGCTCATCAAGGTCAAACCGAAAGTCGCAGAGGCTGTGAATGAAGAGATTCAGACGAGAATCAAGACCCGCTACCCCGAGGGGAAGAAGCTTCGGTACCAGTCGCCTAACCCTTGGGCACCCAACATGGCCTTTGTGAACTGCTACGATGGGCCTCAGGAGAACGTTGGGTGGCACAGCGACCAGCTGACCTATCTCGGACCTCGCGCCGTCATCGGGTCGGTATCACTGGGCGTCGCGCGGGAGTTCCGCGTGCGAAGGATCATCCCCAAGGACGGCGGCGGCGAGAATGGAAATAGCACGACGATGACGGCCGAGGACGCCGACGCAGAGGGCCAGATCTCGATTCACCTCCCGCACAACTCCCTTCTCGTGATGCACGCCGAGATGCAAGAGGAGTGGAAGCACAGCATCGCGCCGGCGCAGGCTATCGACCCGCATCCCGTCGCCGGCAACAAGCGCATTAACATCACCTACCGCGATTACAGAGCCGACATGCACCCGCGACACACGCCAAAATGCGACTGCGGGATCCCATGTGTGCTAAGGGTCGTGCAGAGGAAGAAGGAGAACCATGGGAGGTACTTTTGGATGTGTCACGGGGGCAACGTGCCCGGCAAGGACAGTTGCTCGTTTTTCCAGTGGGCCAAGTTTGACGACGATGGAGCTCCTATATGGACCCATACGACCCGAAAGCTCAATTCTTGATTTCTTTTCGACGCCTCATCTTGATCGACTACGAAACAACCTCGCCATCAAATGCCGCATCAGATATCACCGGTACACGCTGCTGTGTCCCTCAGGGGTTCACGTATCCAGGCTGATGCTCACCCTTGCCATCGATCTGGATAATCTTCAGACTCTTCACATCCACCCCGTCGAGAACCCGCGCGTTGACGGGATGCCTCGTCTTCGACTTCTCGTACCAGTACTGCGCCAGCTCCACCAGATTACTCTGCTCCTCCTCGCTCAGCGGGTTGAACTGGTTGGTGATCGGGACGCCGCAGTTCTTGCAAAACGTCTTTGCGAGAATGTGGTGTCCAAAGATGTAGCGGCCAATCTTGTCGTCGTCTCCCGTCAGCACGACTTGGTCGCTATTGGGGTACACCCAGACGTATCCATTCTGTTCAAGAAAGTTAGCACAACAATTTCCTTCCCCGATGCCGGCATTAGCAGGGCGGTGTTTGCTGACCCTTTCGCAGATGCTGCAGTTGCACTCGATGACTTCGTTTTCGTACGTCTCGTCAATGGGCTTGCTGACGACAGCCACCGTCAGAGCGCCGCAGTGGCAGCTGCCGGTGTAAACTTTGCCCCCCTCGACCTCGGCCGTCGGCCTGGGACCGTTGTGGGTGTGAGGCTCGTAGTTGGCGCCGTAAGACGCGCCGTCGTAACTGCAAAGGCCGGGTCAGCATTTTCGATCTGTGTAATTTGATGAACGACTTTTTGTGAGATTTGGGGTTGCATACGTCTTCTTCTCCAGTCCCCAAATATCGAGGTCTTGGATCGAGCGCACCTGCATAAATGTCAGCCCTAGTGCTTCTTCCCCCTCGGACAGATCTTGAGACGGCGCGGCAAGGATGCGAGATACTCACGTTTAGGACGATTCCGTTGGGGGAATCCGCCAGGATGGGCGTAGCACAGTTTCCGCAAAACTTTGAGGCCAAAGGTCGTCAGCATTACCGGACACCGACAGACCACAATTTCAAACTCATTGCAGAGAATCTTGTTCGTTTCCGCGTGTTCAGATTCCCGGGGCTCACCTTGTGCGTAATCTGGCCAGGACCAAAGTTGTACGTCGAGAGGTCATCCTCGGCGCCTTTGACGAAGCGTAGGTCGTCGCGCTGGGGAATGACCCAGAGGGTACCCTTTCTGGAGCAGAGGCTGCAATTGCAGGCGCTGGCGGACTTGATCTCTGGGAGCTGGACCTCGTAGACGAAGGTCTTGCAGTGGCAGTTGCCGCGGTAGGTCTGCTTTGGCTCTTCGGCGGTGGTGGTCATGTTGGAAGATGGAAATGGTATTGATAACTTGTGTTGTGAGGAGGCTGTAGAATGTTTGTTGTGAGGGTGGAATGAATGAATTGGCATGGAATCACAAAGTCAAAAGAGACTATTTGCGCGGTTCTTTATAGATTCGATCTAAGAGCTTTTCATACCTCATAAACCTCACCGGGACGAAGCGAAGCTGACAAGTTGAGGGGGAACATCTCTCCCTAGTGAGCGCCACAATTTGTTGAGACAAGCAAGTGGACTCAATCGTAACTTGGAACCAGGATACGTTCCTACAGGACAGGAGATGTAGAGACAGAAATTTTCGGGCGTGTCCATCGTCCACGAAACGGACAAGTCTATCGTCCGGACACAGGGTTTCGGCGCAAATATTTTTTGTCGCTTATGTTATCTTACTTTGCTGGTTGGCGATCCCAAGAATCTGAGTCACCGACATGACATGACCCCCGGAGGACCGTGAATATTGCTGACGGCAGGAACATGGTGTAACACGCGCGGGGTTCCTCGTCTCTGCAAGGTATCGTCCGTGAACGCCAAAGCTAGCAAGAGCTAGAATCTTACGAGGTAAGGGTGTAAGAAACTCTAGGGCCAAGCCACATACGACGCCTCTGCGCGCGATTGACTTGGGGGAAACGCCAGATTACCACGTTGTCAGGTGACTTTGTACGCTTCGTTTCCGTGGGGACTCTTAGTGTCTGCGTCGGAGCAGTTTATACCCCGCACTAAAGAGGTGTTTCATACATCAAAGTCTGGCTAGATTACCAATTGCCTATTGCTTCGTGGAGGTTTCTCTTGTAGCTTGATGTGAGACAGTCACGATATGCAAAGAGAGAGAGTTTGTGTATCAATTGTGCATCGTGCCTGCATCTTGACTACCGACATCTTCACGGCGTGTCCTTTCGTTGTGGCGCCGAGTCATCTTATTATCTTACAGCTGGGCATGCAAAACTCGGTTCAGCTGAGAATGAGATGAGACCTTTTTGGGAAGAGTGAGGTGAGGCTGGCGGGTAAGCGAAGCGGGAGTTGGGTAGACGGGCTGGAAGTAGGCAGCAGGCAGCAAGGAGTCTACGTCATACCCTGTTACTTTTCTTCAAGTGTGCCTATCAAACTCAAGAGACGTGTTTGTTGGGGTGAAGGATGGTTGATGGCCCATAGGTGCCTCGGTTGTTGAAGTTTCGTCAACGTGGGACTCTGTTGTGGCAAGCGAGATCTGGGTCATTCGGAGTTGGTGATCTGGCATGTTGGGGGTGAAGACAACGACGAACGAAAGGAAACGAGCATTGGATGTAAGAGGCTTGGAAAGATTGTTGAGATGGAAGCGCCCACTTATCGGGAGGGTTTATGTCATCCTTCCGTCCGTCCGAACGGGACTGTAGGTGCCGTTACTGGGGCTCGGTGGGGAAGGGCGCCGTCGGCGTCGGAGGGATTTCGCAGAGAAAAACAGAAGCTATCTCGACGTATAGAAAGAGACGTGCATCCTTTTGTTTTCCTGTCTCTGCATCGAACACCGGATTCCGACACGTGATAGAGAGGTTTCGCTTCAAGCTCTGCATCCAGTTTGCCCATTGGACTTTAGCGGATGTTCAATGTCAGCGGGTCGAGTGCCATTAACTGCGGAGCGGAGGGTTCGCCCGACTTATACCCACCACCGATGACCGTCGGCCGATACAATGTCCGCGTGTGATTGTGACGAAATTGCCAAGGTAAGTACTCAGTGGTATCGGCTATATCAACGGTAAAAAGGACCGAATGGTATCTTTTCTGTAACTTCTGGATGCTCCGATTTCGATCAATTCTTCGCGGCTTTCTTCTACGTCTATCTAATGTAGTGCTCTGGCAGTAACTCATTAGTTTACGTCCAGAATCCCTTTAGTTTTCCTTCCGTCTGACGTAGATGGATAATGGAAACACGCGAAAGGCGCCATAATTACTCTCCATGCCTACTCTGTACATTATGTTCTTTCAATCTAAGATGGAACGGTTTATAATCGCTTAATCAGTTACGCAGCAATATCTCCGTCCAATCGGCGGGATGCAAAAAACGGTCGCCAAGATCTGGGCACCAGGTCGAGTGCTCCCCAACTATCCCAAGTTCGTCTCATTTAAGGTAAGGAGATTCTCCCCCTCCCCGTATAGAGAAATTTCGAATTACACCTCGCAAGCCCTGCACGCCAGGGATCAGCCGTCACTTATTAAGCTTACAGGTCCGAACCGGCTCCCGTAAACTCCGGGGCACCCGTTCCGCGGATGACAACCTTAATGCAACCGCTATTGTTCAAGGCCCCCATTCTAAAGTCTTGGGGACTTTGACTCTTTTCCCCCCTGGAAGTCATTGAGCTGTCTTCCCCCTCTTCTCGATTTTATCCATCCCCCAGTCATCGTAGTCAAAGATAAAGCACCGTGTTGCTTCAACCGCGCGCCCCCCTTTCCACATTCCATTCATCCCGCAGGTGCCGCCAAGATTTGATCAACATCAGCAGGTTGCATTTCCAAGGAGGACGGCCGCCGATTCGTTCAAACGTCTTTTCTGAGACCTTGTCAACCTTGTTTCTCGTCATACCTGTATAAAGTGGAAACTCGCCTCTCCCTTTCAAGCTTCTATGCATTCATCCCAAGCTCCGTAGATTGCCCAAACCAACATTGCACAGGTCTTGGAATCAACTAAGGTTACCTTCCGTTTATAATTACCCCCCAGTCTCCTCCACCTTTTCATCTCTTGGGACCTGCTCTGATGGGAAGTCACCCGCCGGCAGTTTGTTGCATCGCGTACTACGTGATTTGGCTTGGCGGCGCAGGAAAGGGGAGTCCTAGGACCTTCGCAACAAATGTAGCTCAAGCCAAAGTGACAAAGGTTGATTCCATCACATCCTCGGTCTTCGGCTACGTGCATGGGATAGATGGTCCCAGGGGAAGTATAGATCTACCTTCCGTTGTAGTTGCAGGGTGATCCTGTCTAGTGTAAAGGAATGTTCTCCGTAGTCTATGCAGTACACGACGGTCTGCCGGCACTTTGCTTTGAACGAACATGCCGTGGAATACAGGGAGGACGGATGGTGGCCAAGATCTACAACATTGTCATTCCCCCGCTCCCGGTCTGCCAGGATCCAGGGAAGAGAGTCAGTGTGATGATCCAGGTCTAGTATTAACGATCTGTAAGGCAGATGGGCAGGCGAGTTCGGATGGAAACCGCTTCCGCGCTGCTGCCCCTACCATGAATTTTTCGTGTTAATGATGTAGAAAGCTAGTCCTTGCCTTCTTGTCCCCCCAGTTTTCGTCTTAAAGAGCGGGAAGGACGTCGATTTCCCTTCCTTAGTTCTGGCTCCGCTTGCTGTTCTCGTCTCTAGGCTCTACCTTATCCATACTCCTCACCTCCAGTCCGTGGAGTTGAAGTCTCGAGGCGTGCTCCTCATCTTGCTTTCCAGAACATCGCAGTCGGCCTCCGTCAGGTTGTCGTTCTGAGACGATCAGCTAGCACGTAGCCCTCCCTAGTGAATACTCGCGGCTGCTCTCGCCACGAATCGATACAATGGCACCCATCACATCCCTCGCAGCGTTTGCTGCCGCGGGCGCAGCTCTGTTCTCGACAGTCGCCGCTCAGTGCGCGAACCTCACTCCCGTCGCGCAACCCCAGCTAGCCGCGGGATACAGCTCCAAGCTCATCCTTAACGGGCTGTCAAGGCCCCGCAGTCTGCAGTTTGACACTCTGGGCAACCTGCTCATCGCCGAGCAAGGAGGCACGGGTGTCAAGTACGTCAAGCTCACAGACAACGGCGGAGTAAACGTCTGCGTGGCTTCTCAGAAGACCCTCATATCCAACACGAATGTAGGAAGCCGAGCCATCCCGTCTGCCTCTTCATGACCAACGCAGCAACTGACCTGTCCTTGTCTAGCTCGCTCATGGCTTGGCCCTGTCTGCCGACGGCAAGACCATCTATGCGGCAACGGCGTCCGAAGTGTTCGCGTACCCTTACGACGCTGCTGCCGGCACTGTTGGACAGGCGAGGTCCATCATCAACGGCATGACGCAGACTGGCCACCAGAGCCGCACGTTGCTGATCCCTAAAGATAAGCCGAACGTCTTGCTAGTTTCCCGCGGCTCCGCTCCGAACCTTGACCTTCCAACCGCCGAGGCTTCATCCGGCCGCAGTCAAATTCGTGCCTTTGATCTCACGAAATTGACGGGCAGCGCTGTGGACTACACAACGGGAGAACTCTTTGGGTGGGGACTGCGAAACAGTGTTGGTGTTGGAGAGAACCCCCTGGACGGAGGCATTGTAAGTGCCTGGCGCATACCCGCAGAGCCTTCAGTCAGCTAATGTTATTTCAGTGGTCTGTCGAGAACTCTCTGGACAACATGGACCGCAACGGAGTGGACATTCACAACGACAACCCTGGCGAGGAACTCAACTACCACGGCAGCTACAGAGCTGCGTCGAACCCACAGAAGGGTGCAAACTATGGCTACCCCAACTGCTTCGCCGTCTGGGAGACCAGCACCGTCACGGGCGTACCCAACGTGAAGGTGGGAAGCCAGGTTATCCAGGGAAACGCCACTGGCAGCGTCACAGACCAGTACTGCCAGACTGTTCCCACACCACCGCGGCTCACTTTCCAGGCTCACATGGCGCCGCTGGATATCAAGTTCTCCCCCAATGGATCATCCGCCTACATTTCCTTCCACGGCAGCTGGTAAGTGCTTCCGGATTGTGGACGTGATGCAACAAACGTTAACGATGTTTACAGGAACCGCTCTCCCGGCGACGGCTACCGTCTCAGCAGAGTCGACTTTGGTGCCAATGGACAGCCGCTTGCTGCGTCTACCAGCAAGACGGCCGAGGTTAGAGTTGCGTGGAACGTCAACAACGCTGTTTGCCCCGGAAGCTGCTTCCGGCCTGTTGGCCTTGCGTTTGACAAGAAGGGCAGGTTGTTTATGCTTAGCGACTCTACTGGCGAGCTTTTCGTTCTTACGGTACCTGCTTAGAGTTCGGACAAGCCGTGCCACCGTCATAGTTGAGAACGGTAAAGAAGGGTTTCATGGCCGGAACTGAGTGAGCTCTTTGCGAAGAGATGGGCGGATTGGAAGGGGATTTCTTGCACATAGTTATCTTAGCCAGCCTGGCAATGACGATATTTTGACAAAGCATTCGGAGTGAGACGCTGATTGACAAGGGAAACGCTGCGTGTCAAACGAGTCAAACGAAACATTTCCTCTCAAGTCGTAACGAGGTTCCCCAAGACACAGGCAAGCGGGGAAGTTGGCTGTTGAACGTAATAGTGGTTGCTGAGCAGCAACGCAGAGCTCGACCCCTGCCTCGGCCCGGGCTTTCAGTGGACCAAACGGGGGGTTTCCCACAGTCCAATAGGCGCGCTGAGCTATCCCGTTTTGCACCCAGTTGGGAAAGGCGCCTTTTGTGGCACCCACGCCAGAATCCGTGTTTCCCGCGATGATGTGCGCCAGGCAGGCACGACAGGCACAAGTGGAAGCCTTTACTTCACTTGTCAGTATAGTGTGTACCTTAGGTACTTGGGTGACAGGCAGGCGCAAACTGCGGGTGGTGTCGCGCAGACGCAACTAATGGCGCAGCGCTCCAATCACACGTCGCATGCCCGCCCTTCAGTCTCACCCGTCCCGTCCCTCCGCGCCTTCCATCCATCCATCCATTCTCTTCCATGAATCCCATCCATCCCTCCCTCGTCTCCCGCCTACTTCTCTCACCCAACAGCCTTGGTAAGCAATCCGCTTCCCGCATTCTTTCCTGATGGGACTGAACCATCGCCTCAGACATTGATTTTGCCATTTCTCGGCCCGTCATTTTCGTGGACTGATCCACGGATTAGAGCGATATTCTTATTGTCGCCATCGACTCGGCGCCCCTCGGCCAAGCGCTCGGAATCTGTCTCAGGCTTTGCGACGCTGCAACGTCGGAGCCAAAGCCGTTCAACCCAAAGACCGCCGACGCGCGCGCTCGCTGTTCGGCACGACCTTGGGCTACTAGCCTGAATCCTTTCGTTTTCCAACGTCTTCGCGTGCATTCCCATCGCCACTTGGCCGCATCATCCGACAGACATTTGCGACAACTCTCACGAGCCGTGCAGGCAGCCCTACGAACAAACGACCGATCCGATCCACCGTCACTGCGTACCTGCAGGCGACTTTTGCCCTACGACTGCGCGCGAGTCTAACCGTCGCGCCACGGACCATACGCCATCAAGAAATCACGCCTCATCCCAAGCTTTTCTGACATAAGGCGCTCGCGCGCGAGAGAGAGAGAGAGAGAACGATGCCCCTCCTTCCTCGCCAAACCACCACGAACGGCGTCGTCGTCGTTCCCGCCACGTACGGCGGCTGGTCGAGCCTCGGCGCCGGTGCGATTGTGGGTATTACCCTCGGCGCCGTCGCGGGGTTTCTGCTCGTGTTGTGGATGGTCTACACCTGCCTCAACTTTGGCCGGCCGGTAGAGGCCTCGTCGTCGTCGGTATATACGGGTACCGCGTCGGTCGTCTCGGTGCGGCGGCAGCGGTCAAAGAGCCGGCATCGCCACCGTAAGCATCGCAGTCCGCGGGCGAGGGTGATTGCGACGGAGGAGGTGAGGGTTAGGGAGAGCGTGAGCAGGCCGCCGGCACCGGGCGGTCCGATTATTGTTGAGGCAGCGCCGCCGCCGCCGATGCAAGAGCGGAGACATAGTCGAGCTCCGCCGCCGAGGATCGTGACGGATGATGAGGAAGACGAGGTTGTGGTGATTGAGGAGCATTCGCCGTCGGATAGAAGGAGACGGCGCCATAGTAGCTCGCGGCGGCACAGTCACCGGGGAGAGAGCCGGCGTGGGAGCCGGGACTACTGAGGTGTTGGCCTACTTACCTATCCAACGTACAAAATCGCGTTGTTCTTTTTTCTTCCTTTTTCCTTTCTAGCGACTGGACTTTTGTTGGGACCTTGTTTGTAATAGATTCTGCTGCGGTGCTGTGAGTGCGGCATATTCACGTGAGCGATGAGCGATGTTGTACGAACCTTTTTTGTCGGTATGGATGGATGGATGATATACTAGGGCGATTGTACGTCAAACATGGATGGGCACGTGGATACCGGGCATACCGATCGGAGCGGGAAGGGAATGACTAGGAAAGATGGGGGAATTGTCAGATGGAAGATCAAAGTGTGGGGTGACTCCGGACAGCAGGATGGTGCCGAAGGACGTGTTCGGTTTCGATACGAAAGTCCGTACTCCCATACGCTGGGAGGGATATTGGATGATCTTGAATTACTTCCCGAATACGGCGGATTAAGGTGATCCCATGATCGGGTTATCACGCCAATGGATGGGCAATTGTGGTGCTGGTGCTGCCTCGGTAGCCGGTGCGCGATGTGAGGAGGCTGCTATATTCCGGGCGTTGTCACATTTTGTCTTGCACACATGAGACCGGACATCTGAAGGAAATAGCGGGGGATTCGAGGTTGTTTTTTTGGGTGATGAGGTGGAAAGGCGATTGATACCAAGGCACGGATATATAATCTGGACTACTTATTCTTTCCATTTCATCTGATTGCTCCTACTTACTGAAGCCATTGACGAAATGCTAAGGCCAAAGCCGTCAGTTTACTGATGACTGAAATATCGCGCCTAAGAGTGATTGCCGGTTGCTTGCAGCCGTAGCATCGTCGTTCTTGGGAACCTGCAGCCAGAGTAAGGTACTGCAAGGTGTAAGTACTAAAGATCGACGATGATCTGAGCAATAGCTAGGTGGATGCCAGGTACCTTGCTTGTAAGCTCTTCCCCGTCAAGTCAAGCTAGGGTACTACAGTAAGTAAATAATGCACTGGTAAGTGCTATCCATGGGATTGGCCAATGACGGCAGCAGGAGCCGCATTTCACATGCTTTCCCCGGACTTGTGTGGAGGGTACGCCATGCTCCCAAATAGTTTCAGAATGACATCACCCTGCGAGCTTCGGCTTCCCGGACGTGGGTAAGAGCGCCACAACTTCCCACACCTCAGGTACGAGATAGGTATCCAATTCTTCACGAGACAAATCAAACGATCGGGCACAGGCACGTTCCTAATCCGGCAATTGCGGACCAGACTTGCTCTCCAATTCCGATTCTGCCACCTTCGACGCCAGGTACTGTACCCAAGGTACCTCTCACCACCTCACCTCTAGGAGCTCTAGGCGTTTGGCTTGTGAGACATCATAGCTCCCATCTCCATCCTTCCCGCGGCCGACATATAGCTCCGAGTACCTAGCTCAGGCGCCCTCTCCCTCCCTTTTAACGTTTGACCTTTCCCTCCCCTTTTCATCGTCTCTGTGCGTTTCCCTGTGACGTTGATCTTTTCCCACCAACTCGAACGTCTGTGTTCTTCTCAAACACAGGATAACAGCACCTCCCGCTCTTCCCACGCAAACATCACGAACCGGATTCCACTTGAGCATCGGTGAACTCAACAAGACCAATCGATCCGTTCAGAAGCTTGAAGTAGACACTCTACGACTTTTGAGCTCCACACGGCAAATAATAATACGTTTTTCTCGACTTGACGCTGACACGAGCGTAAGATGGATCATCCAGGTACGCAGACGTCACTCATGCACATAACACTCCCGAGAAGACGGCAACGCCTCGCTGCCAACACCTGTATCAACCCCAGCTGCAGATCACGTCCCAGGATGCCATCCCCCAAGCCTGCAACCCAAAAGCTATGGACTTTTCAATCCTGAGCTGTTGAGCCATGTTTCCCTTCTTTGTTTCTGCACGACCTCCCATATTAGGTAGACAAATCGAAAGTGTCCCCCTTACTGACAAACATCCGACTATAGTCAAGGAGATCAAGACCGTCATCCGGGACCTGGTCCAGGGATCCCCAGAGAAGCAGCAGAATGCCCTCTACTCCAACTTCACCGAGGACGCCTCCTTCACCCACCCGTTCTGCCATGTACCGTCCTTTGGCAACATCCAGATCCCGTTCCTCTTCACCATCAACTCGCGTTGGTTGGTCCTCATGATTTACCGCTGGTACCGCATCTTGAGCCCCAATATTGAAATGGAGATTGAGTCTTCTGGTATGTTCTATGCCTGGCCAGCTATCTCCCAGCAGAGAAGCTGTACTGGGGAGCCTTTTTACAAGAGAGATAAGACATGCTAACCCCCTTACAGTCCAAGACCAAAAAACAAACTTGCTCTACGTCAAGATGCGCCAAGACTTCCGCCTGTGGTTCGTTCCCTTCTACTCGGCACCCGTCGACTTCGTCGTCGTCCTCCGCCTAGAGACCCGCACAATCGACGCCAACGGCAACCCGTTGCCTCGCGGCTACGGTGACGACGCCTCCGTCGGCACCCGCCAGCGCCAGTTCATCGTCAGCCAGGAGGATCACTACCAGGTCGGCGAGTGGCTCAAGTTCATCGCTCCCTTCTTCGGGTACTGGGCCTGGCACGCCTGGACCCTCTTGGCAACTGCGATGTGCGTTGTCGGCGCCTTCTTTGGATATCCTCTCACCTTGCTCTTTGGACAGATGGCTCGGCCCAACAGTAACGGTAACGGGCAGGAGAGTAAGCGGGAGTAGGATGACGCAGTCGATACTCTGTTTATCTTTTTTGGGGACCTTGCAGGATAACCTAGCAGGAGTGGCTGATGAGGTGTCAGAAGAGTCTTAGTGTTGGCTGTGCGAGGGTTGAGCCATCTTTGAAGTATGGATAATCAAGCTGGCATGGTGTTGGGTTTGTAACATTAGTAAAGACTTGCCGGTACGGAATCGTGTACGTTTCACCACCCGTGTTAGGGTATTGGACTTTTGAGCTACGCAGCTATAAGTTTGACTTGATTGTACTTGTTGTGCACATCAGCCCATGTAAAAGTTAACAACATTCATCGTCGGCCAGTCCAGCCAATGTAGAAAGCTGAGCTGTAGTGAAGTAGCTCCCCAGGGGAGCTCCCACTCCGACCCGCCTCATCCCATCCGACTATAGCACGCCCCACCAGCACCTGCACTCTCTCCTTACCTCGTCGTCCCCTCCCCACCGCCTTCCCCCCTTCCTCGAACTCCCAAAGGTACCTACCTAGGGGATCTAATCCCCTTTCCCGTCACCGGCACAGCAGCACCCGTTCACGTCGGCGAGGTCAGGTCAAGCTGTCATTTCGAGCAGTGGCGTGGAGTTCAGGTTGAGTTTATTCCCCTCCTTTCCTTTCCTTTTTAGTTTTGCCTGAAAAGTAGTTCACGTATAATGGCGGTGAGAGGTTTCTGATTCGACTTTGGTCTTGCGTTGCTCGGTGAGGTACTGACGCTTTCTCGAATGTCACGACACGATCAATCTGGCGATGAGAGGGAAGGAGGCGAATCCAATATCCATTTCCTCATTCAGTCCAATAAGGGGATAACCAAGTAGAAGAACTGACGAGTCTCGCCGGCTCTCCTCCCTTCACGCTCACTACTTCACATCTAACCCCCCCTTCCCTTCCACTCAACTCGCTTTTCTGGGTATACCAAATCAGACTGCAAGCAACAGATTTTCCTTGCGCCCACGGAACCAGCCTCCCTCCCCCATTTCCCGTCTCAACACGAAACCACTCTCGCCGTTCATTTTTGAGTATGTCCATCCACGCAATATACATCTGACCGCACCGAGTTTTCCTTTTTGTGTTGTGAGTTGAACAAGATCTGATGCCCTCCTTTTGCCAATCCGGTTCGTAAATAGTAAAAAAAAAAAAAAAAGGTCTTGCCTGCCATCCCTGCTTTTTCTGATCCGTTTTCGGGCTGTGTCCGTATCTTTCGTACGGGCATGGTTCGTCACATTATAATATACTGTAAGTCATGAAGCCCGGCTGGCGTCTTCCTCTCTCATACAGAGAGGATATGGCGTGTCCGGCACGGAGGCGTCAACTGGGATTTCTCCCAGAGGCCGCCGGCGTCGTGACCTATACACACACACGCCAGCCCTTCCATTTTTGGCGTTTCCCAGCCGTTTTCGTTTTGTGTTGGTATCATCATAAGGGCTAGTAATGCATTTCTAGCACGGAGGCGTCATCGTGGAACAATCTCTTTCCAAGAGGCCGCCGGCGTCGTGCCATTTTCTCTTTTCTCTTTCTTTCGTTTTTGGCTTGTCTCATCCTCTTCACATCCCGTTTCGCCCATTAGCGTTGCCGTTTGGACCCTGCTGCTGATCCGGGGACTGTTGCTGTTGCTGTTGCTGCGCCTGTGACTGCTGCTGTCCTCCAAAGAAGAAGCCGTCGAAAATATTCATCTGCTGGCCTTCGCTGAAGTCGTGGTGCATGTTATCCCAGTTGATGCCGAATCCCAGGTCAAGCTGCGGCGTCGTCACATCCCCGGACCCACCGAGCTCGCCGTTTGGGTTACCACCCTGCAAACTCTGGAAGAAATCCATGGTTTGGATGTCTGGGTAGTCGGCTACGCCATACGATGACGACCCTTGCTGCTGCTGCTGCTGATTCAAAAAGGATCCGCCGCTACTGGTTCGCTGAGTCGCCACACGACGAGGCACTGGCGGCGAGGCCACGAAAGAAGGGTCGATTTCCGAGGGGCTGCCCTGGCTGGGGGCCATCATATTGAAGTCCGTTGCGCGCGGGGAATGGCGTGGTGGGAGGTCACCGGCAACAGAGAGGCTTGGCGACGAGAGGGTATCGGACAGCGCCATGTCCATCTGGAAGTTGCCCTGGCCCGACGACTGGTGTTGCTGGTGGCGGCGGCGAGGTGCGACGCTCGCAGTCGACGTCGATGCCCCGTCCCCTGAGGCGGAGCTCCACTCGAATTGTCTCTCACGCATCTTGCGTGGGGGGACCGAGTTGAAGCCCCCGGTCGAGTTGGCCATCTTGATGGTGGCCTTTGCGGTGCGGTCAAAGGCGTCGCGGCAGGTCTCAGCCGGTGGGCACTTGTCGATCAGGTCGGTGAAGACAGACTTGGCGGCCAGGATAGTGAAGTCGACTTCGTCCATTGTCTGTATCATTACACATTAGAGCTATTTCGATTGATTTCAAAATCAGAGGAATCGACTTACCAGTCGGCTTCTGACAATAGGCGAGTGCCAGATGGCGTAGAGGTAGGATATGCCAGCCATGAAAAGATGATGAGTTGACAGATACGTATAGCTGACCAGCCCGCTCAAGTGCAGCTGGCGGTAGATACGAAGAATCTTTTGCCCGGCTTCGGCGACCTTGAGATAGATCCTGTCCTCGTCCTCCCGCAGCTCCGCCTGGAACGCTGTCGGGCTGTTCACTTCGGTGGAGGTGTTGTACTCGCCCTCGAACATGGCGGGCACGCTCAGGCTCTGGCGGTAGAGCATGATGATGGCCTGCCAGTAGTTGAGCTCCAGGAATTCGGTCGAAAACGCCACACCCGTCTCTTCCCGCGTCGGCGCTGAGTTCTTCCACTGGTACAACCTGCGGTCGATGTCGATGCGCCACGAGCGGAAGGAGTCGAACTTGACGAGAAACGGCGACGGCAGGTGAGTGTGCATGTCCGAGTTGGTCAGGTTCTGGCCCGAGGCCCGCACGACTTGTGTCTGGTTATATTGCAGCACTTGGAGGATCTCGGATTGCAACAACCGCAGCTTGAAGTAATGGTAAGCTACGTGCTTGTAGCTCGGTTCGGATGAGTCGGCAGGCATCTCCAAGAATCCAGTCGATGCGATGTACTGATCATCCAAGAGCGAAGGAAATTCGGTCGTGATGACCTGGTCGCTGATGCCGAATGGTCGTCCGACGCAGGTGCTCACCAGTCGATCCAAGGAGTAGGTGCACCACCAAAGCCTCCGCCTCATGTCGCGGATGTAAAGTCGTCGGCCCCTCTCGCGTGACTGGGCGTTCCTCGCTTCGTTGACTTCGCCGTTCTCATCCTTGATTAGATCCCGCATTGCCGGCTCTACGTCGCTTCCGTCTTCGTAGTGCAAGCCAAGATCCACAGCCAAGCGCACAGCAACGCCGATGATGTACCTGTCAACTTGTCAGCATCACTACTCATAATACGCTCGGCTGGGAGGGGACACAACTCACCATAGACCGGGGGGGACGGGTCGAAGGAGCGCAAAGTTGGCCAACAGCAGCACAGCTTGCAACACCTCCAACCCACCGCCGCTATTACCTAGACAAGCTTCAAGATGCACGATGGCGCTCGCATGGTACTCCTCTGGCTGTGCCTGGCCAAACTTGTTCGCATCCGCTGGATTGCGCGGTCCGGCACCCGAGCCTTCGGATTTCACAGGCTCGCCCACAATCACACCGCATCCGATTGCGAAGACCATATTCAGCATGTATAGCTCCCGAGCTCCCTTTGGCCCACTCGGATCAGCGTACGCCTGGTCGAACATTTGCATAAACTCCCCTCGGTGCAGAATGGGGATCTGAGGATTCGCGTGCTCAAAGTAGAGGGTCACAAGCCTCATTCCCACATCCTTGTCAGGGAAGTTTGCTGGCCGGATCGTGGGTTTCGTGTGCAAACCAAAGAAGGAGTCGCGCATAGATGTCCCGCTGCCGATCGGTAAGCCCTTGCCGCCAATCCGATCCTGCGTTCCGTTGTGATCCGACACGGAGTATTGCACAGCGGCGAACACTACGCGGTTGAAGGAGACCCCTGAAGCCGACGCTAGTGATCGTGGTTTCGATGGGCTGACTATATCAAGCATTCCCGTACCACCGCTTTCTGCCTTTTTGGCCTTCTCCAAGTCAGGGCGGTGTATGTTATTCTTCGCTGGCCCAGGTCCATCATTGCTCTCGGAGCGTGCCGAGGGAGCAACCTCAGTCGTCGATCTCGCGATCTCGGCGCCGGGACGTGAGCAGAGCTCCAGGTTCTCGGCTGGTGGGAAAGGTATGTTCTGGTTGGCGAGAAGTGCCTCTAGCTGCTCGACGCGGGTTTCTAGGTAGAATACGTAGCTTTACGAGTCACATTATTAGCACGCAGTCAACGATCGAGGTGATAATGCTACTGCGCACACATGCGCGCGCACTAAGCAACTCCAGGCACGGATACGCTACACGGGCGAGTAGTCCATACCTTCTTGGAATTTCCTTCTTCGTGATGGGGTCGTAGCCCACGCACGCAACGCCGGCCTTTGCGCAGCTGGCACAACTGGGAAGCTTCTGGTCGCATCTGTTCTTCCGTAGGCGACAGCGATTGCAGGCGCTCACGTTGCGGAAGTTGCTGCTCTGGCCTGCTTTTCCTCCTCCGCCTCCTCCATTCTTCTCAGCTGAAGTCAGAGCCGCGCCGGCATTGGCCATCGGGTCATTCTGTTCGGCTGCGGACGGGCTCTGGTCGATGCCAGCGGAGGGGGGCGGGGAGACGTCGACATCGTAGGAGCCTTGGCGCGGGCGCTTCGTCGGCTTGAGGGTGGGTGATGGCGGTGAATGAGCCGGCATTGTGTAAGGTGAAGGTCTCTTGATCGGACGGTACTAGTCGGCTTTTCGGAGAGAAGAGACGGGGCGGGGAAGGTTGGGACGAGGATAGGGTTGAGACTGAGTTCCGGAGGCGCGGCTACCGGCCAGTCGGGGTGAGTCGGGGGCGGTTTATAGAGCCGACTCTAGATGATGTAGAGAGTAGGAGAAACGGGTCGTCCTGTA